ATGCATTTTTCAGCTGATTTGAAGGGCCTTATCCAAATGTTTGACTCCTTCCACTAGGTATTACCAGTTGAATGTGAAGGTAAATATATACCATTCTTTGCCTTCCATTGGATTGTTTTAGTATCTGTGCCTGTGGGATTATTGATAGGATATTACTTTTACAGGAGAGTTACAACTGCCCAAATCCTAAATACCAGCTATGACTAACACCACAGGGTAAGATTCCTAATAATTTTCCAAGTTTTCTGTATTAGTGACAGGTTTCATGTGTACACTCAGCTATTAAAGCACTAGAGTTTCTTTCATTTCTTAATCATTAACAACTTTAGCTCTGATTGCCCATGGAGTTGCAAGCTGTTAAAATTATCATTTGCTTCTTACTAATTTTGAAACCAAGAACTGTTTCTTTGCTTGATGCTGTGTAGGTCTTTCCCAGAGCACACACAATTCAAGAGCACCAAGAATCTACCATAAGAAAACCTAATCTAAAATAATGAATTTGTAAAATAAGTGGGAGTTAAGGAAGGGTAATACTCTTAAATACTAAAGAGTTTAGTTTTTTAAAGGATTCAACATGGAAGGGTTTTGTTAGTTTGCTTTTTTTTTTTTTTCAGTGGAAAGCTCCCCTAGTTTTTATGATTTAGAGTTTATGATGCTTATTTAATGAAGAATATAGAGAGGTAGAAAACCTCTAAGTTATGTTTCAGTGCAAAAAGGTCAGTTGAAATTCAAGCGGAGTTAAAATAATGTGGAATTTCATGTAAGTAAAATATAAAAAGCATTTTGGAAAAATTACGTTGGTATCTCACCTTTTAGAAACTGTACACCTACATTACCTGACCTATGGTAAATACTCAATAGATAAGTTGTGAATTTATTTACTGATGTTAAGAAAAATTGATGGTATGATAAAATGAAATATGTTAGTTTGAGCATTCATCCATCCATTTCAAGATATTTATTTATAGTACTTTCTAAATTTAGTGTATTGTAAAAGGCTTATTAAAAATTAATTTTCTCTAATTTAGTCTGTATATTTTAAGGAAATAGAATTTGTATCATAGTGAAATACTCCTGTGATTAGAAATTTATTAAAATAATTGGTTAAGTCTCATTTTTCAAAATATTATTGGATAGATCTAGGGTGAGCCTCAGCATTTGAATGTTTTGGAAGCCTACAAAGATAATGATAGGCGGTAGTTAGGTTCCTAAACTATGGATCTGTTACCTAGAGTCATTTATTCCAAAAAGAATCAGCTGACACAGGTATTTGTTTAGTCTATTTTTAAATGTGAATATTCTTGACTTCCTATTAAACTGCTTTTCTTTTTCTGGGAAGACCCATACCTCTGAAGTACTGGTAGAGATAGGATGCTTTCTTTAGGCAGAGGTTCAGGAGGATGAACATTTATCCTTTCTCAGTGCAGTGTTTTTGGTTTCTGGGGATTCCTTCCAAGCACCAACCCAGTGCCAGGTACTACTACTGTATGGATATGCAATTACATGATTTGTTACTAAAAGCAAGAAAAGAAAAAGTTAGCACTACTTGGAAGCTCTCGTATATACAGATTCAGACCATCAGTTTGGTCCTTAAGCAATATTCCTGATGCCATTCTTTGTGGCACAAATCCATTACTTTTCCCCCAGGCTTTTCTGTCAGGGGCACAAGATAACTTTCCAATTTGTAGGGGCTTTAATGCCAGGACAACCAAGAAGTGATACAGATGATTCATCATTACCCATCTTTTACCTTGCTACCCTTACTTTAATTCTTAGAATGAGAACAGTTTTCCAGTTCTGACTATACAGTATCTCCTTTTTTTTTTTTATCTCTACTTTGTAGGACAGCACTGACTTGTACAATTTCTCCAGAACGTCAGAAATTTTTATAGATTTACTAATTCACCAATACTTTATATAAATATTTTATTACTAATTTTAAATTTACATGACAAAATTGGGAGGTGGTAATATCAGTTCCCATAGACACCTTCCCTCAATTCCCCATTGACATCCCTTGGTAGTGTATTTGTCAAAATTAGTGCACCATACCCAGCTTCCTCCATTTTTTAAATCCAAGTTCCATTTATCCCTCCCTACCTCTAATAATCAACATTCTATATTCAAATTGAGGGGTTTCTTTAATTATTAATTTTAGTTCCCACAGTAAGGGAGAACATGTGGCTTACTTCATTTGACATGATGTCCTCCATTTCCATCCATTTCACTGCGAATGACAGGATTTCATTCTCTTTTTTTATAGTTGGATAGTACTCCATTATATAGACCATGTTTTCTTTATTCATTCATCTCATGATGGACACCTTGGTTGGTTTCATATTTTGGCTGTTTGTGAACAGTGCTGCTATAAACTTGGTGAAACAGCTATTTCTTTGATTAAGAGAGATCATGTCTTTTGAGTATATACCCCACAGTGGGATTGCTAGATCATATGGCGGTTCCATTTCTAGTGTTTTAAGAAATCTCCATATTGTTTTGTACAGTGGATGCACTAACTTAAATTCCCACCAACAATATCTAAGAGTTTTCCTTTTTCTACATTTTTTTCCTGCCTGCTGCTCTTGGTGAATTTTCCACCTCGAATGTAATATAGTATACCTCTAAATAGTGCTTCTCACTCAAAATCATTATTAGTAAGCACAATAATACATTCATGTCTGCATCTTGATTTTGATTTCTTACAGAAAATATAATATTTTCTTCCTTTAGGAATGTCTATGTTTGATGCTAACAGCTTTCTCCACTTGCTAAGGAATTAGATAATTTTGCTTATGGAGTTTAGGCTTGCACTTTGTGCAGGGAGACTGTAGTAGCTTCTGCCCTCTGAAAGTTTAAATTCTAAGAATATGTATCATTTTCTTTTTGGATTAAATTCCACCTGCCCTTCATATTCCTTCCTAGTAAGCACCCACAGCATTCTAGAGGCTGTGTACAACAAAGGAAACACAGTAAAATGTAGCTGGGCAAAGCCTCATCATTACTTCATAATCCCATATGCAAACTTAATATGATTGAAATCTATGGGAAGTATTTTCATTTTTCTCTTCTCCAGGGTAAGTAATCCCAGTTCCTTTAACTGCTTTGGTTTGAAGTCCATGCATCCAAACTTCATTGACGTAAATGAAGGAACGTGGTTAAACAATTTTATGCTATGTAATTAGTGATATAAAATTTCATAGTTGAAAACAAGGGAAGCTAAAATCAGATGAAACCTGGAATATATTGAGGAGGACAAGAAACTTCCTAAGTGAAGTAAGGATAAAATTGTTCAAGTCTGCTGGAACAGAGTACTGTCTTACACAAGAAGACAAAGCACTTGCCTCCCCACGTTTTTGTTTCGTTCTGTAAGGTAGAACAAAATCAAATACATTTAACTTTTCCTAAATGGCACTTTTAGTACATCCCAATACTTGCTCTTCTGTTGCCTCTTGGTATGGCCTCAACTGAAAAGTTTTTTTTTTTTTTCATTAAATATAAAGAGCAGGCTTAACTTCTTGTTTATTATTACAAAACAGCAACCAGTATTTTGGTGATAAATGCCGTTACTAAAACTAAAAGCGTGATGAAGAGTGTTGTACACTTTTTTTGCTTCATCATCCTCTGGCTTTATCTTTGTTTTTCTGTAGTTGTAACATGGAATTATTATTACATGGAAATATTTCTAAATGTCACTATAAAGAACTTGCTAATAATTTTCTTTTCAGTTTCAGTTATCTGTTATAATTGATAAGGCTCAAGATTGAATCATTTTCTAAGGCAACCTGAGCATTGACCTGTGGGTTATTTTACCAGGCCTATTCATTGCATGTCTGTTGTCAGAATGCAGGCATCTTTGTGAATGTCCTGTTCACATACTAGGGACATTATAATTAACAATAGCTTCATGTTAATAATACAGTTGGATTACAGTGTTAGTGTAGGAATCAATAAGTGGTTAGGAGTTTAGGATCTTTTATATATAGATCTAATGAGAAATAAGAAAAGAGGGAAGAAAATAGAAGGACAAACACCATAATGTCAATGATAGAATTGCTACGTAATAAGCTTATTGTAGATTTTAATCCTTTTCATGCTGCTCTGTTATTTCCCAATTTCAAAAACGATGATAAATAAGTGCAATCTGAACAAAATAAGATATTGTAGTTGCTGGTTACTTATTTTGCATTTGCTTGTCCTAGGAGAGTTGCCCAGACTTTTTTTTCATACATTATTTCTCTCCCAAGAATTCCCTACTTCTTGCCCATGTGCTGAAACACATTTTCTCTATTTAGAGGTATGAGAAATACATAAGTTAGTATAACTAGGATAACTAGCTATTTTGATACCTTTTTTTTTCACTTTGGTAAACTAAATTAGTGGGTGGATTCTTGCATGCCCAAGTATTTCACTGCAAGGTGGTTTCTAGAGCTGGTGTATTTCCAGATGGGATAATAATCGAGAGAGGCAGTTACACTGAGGTGCGTGGGAAGTGTTTGAGACGTGAAAAACTAGATTATAGGATTTATAGGCTGATGGTATTGTAGAGATATAAATTAATTGAATACCATTGGTCAATATTTCTGATGCTGAGCTCTTAGATCTTGATTCAGATGAGAGTTCCAATGTGTTTCAGTTGTTTCTATTCTGATCCATTGGCCATTAAAACTTACTTACAAAATGTACATTAGAAGTGTAATTATGGGCATCTTTGCTGCTGTTGTCCCTAGAAATATACTGTAATTCTCTCATTCTTAGGTAAATTTATGAATTTTCAAAAATGGGTCCCTTTTCTGTGTCTCCTTTTTTTTTCTCTTTTCCTGATTGAAAAAAATTCTGCATCCTAACTTTATGAGAGTATCAAGAAAAAAATAAAATTTTCAAACTCTCATGAGACATTAAAAGACAGAAGAAAAAATTTGAATGCCTGGGGACTTTTGGGTAGTGCAAAATAGCAAGGAATAATTTGGTTTATTTGTTTTTTCCCCATCTAATGTTTTTAGGTACAAGCCTATGCAGAAAGTGGATGGGGTTGCAGATGGTTTCACAGGAAGTGGTCAACAGACAGGCACATCTGTTGAGCAAACTGTAATTGCCCAAAGTCAACATCATCAGCAGTTTTTAGGTATGTTAAGGTGTAATGCATTTTAGTTGCCATAGGATTTTTAAGAAAATAATCATAGTCATTTCTCCAAGTGCAATGTTATTATAGATGTTAATTACATAGAAAGGTTTTATTTTTTGGGGGGTGCTAAAACTATTCACATCATGTGATAGTTCTAATATGGAGCATATTTTTAAAAATCTCAAGTTACTTAGGCCTTTCTAATGCATATGAATTAAAGGCTCAGCTATGAAATTGTTTTCCAAGACTTATATTAATTGGCTTTTGTAAGCTAAATTGTGTTGTGTTTACTTGCATTACTAACTTCAAGTGCCAAAAAGAATTCTCATTTCCTGTGTATGAAGCACTTACACAAAGTCTTGGACTGGAAAAAATTATATTATAAAGAAGTAATTAATTATTTTACCTAGTTCACAGAATTTCCCGTTTTTGTGATTTTGTAGATGGTATACACATTTCTTATGGACACAGGAAGTATAACTTGGACATTGTGCATATTCCTGCCACAACCAAAGGGGCAAAAATGGCAGTTTAATTTAACTGGAAATTCTCTGAGCAATGAGCATGCATAATTTCTGTAACTAGATCAACATGAGAGAGAGAGAGAGAGGGAGTATTTTCTGTCAAAGAAAACTCAAGTTGAATTAGCTACTGAAGTTTAAAACATTATGGCATCATTTTCCAAACTAAAGACCTCATGTGTATCCATGTGGAAACTTAAGCTTTCAACAAAAATTTTAATTTCAATTTTGTTTTTATTTCCTTTATAATCTTAAAAAACATTCTGGATTATCTGGAGAACTAGAACTAAATACTGTTGTGCACTTTTAGTTTCTACATTTATGTTTGAATTTATGATAAGGCAGGCACCAAAGTGTAGTCTACTGATTATCCAGAGCTCATAAGAACAGAGCCTTAACTTGGTAAATTATGCTTTCATCCCTATGCTCTGTGTGGAGGAAAGTTTCATGGTCATTTGAATGTAGAAGAGTTAAGGGAGTAGCAGCTACCAGGAAGTGATGTGTAGGCCTGTCAGACCCAGCAGATTGTGTGCCGGCAGTCAATGTCATGTTCATGGTGTAAGAGAGAATTTAGTCACTGGACAACAGAGTCATCCCCATCACAGCAAATTAGTTGTTGTTAAATTTAATGTTGTTTTTGTAGTTTCCTTTGTATATATTCTGTAGCCCTTTAGGTTTATAGTTACATAAGAAGTATGAACATATTCAAGCTATATTTATTTTTATGTAGCTAAGTGATATAATAATAATAAAAGTAACTAAAATGGTATCAGCAAACTCAAGACATAAATAGGGGCTTGTGGTACCCTATTTCCAGTCGAACTGTAGTGAAAAGTTTGTTTATATACATTTCTTGAATGTATTCCCTCTATTGTTTTGTACTATTGAGGTTGCTAACTTTTGCTTGTAAAGTATTAATATGAAAAGCTTTTGCTCTTTGGACCTTTTATCTCTAATTTTTTTTTCTACGTAGTCTTCTTAAATTTTCTCTCATTAATCTGTAATTGGCAGTATCTGAAGTAGCTTTTTTTCTGTTGTGTTGTCATGGTAACAGATGCATCTCGAGCCCTTCCAGAGTTTGGAGAAGTTGAAATCTCTTCCCTGCCAGATGGTACTACCTTTGAGGATATCAAGTCACTGCAGAGTCTTTATCGAGAGCACTGTGAGGTAAGTCTTTTCAAACATAGTATGAACACATGCTAACTTTTGCCAGACAACTTGTTAAAACAAAATAATCAAGCTTATTCCTACAGGACAGAGGAAGTTAGCACTAATTCTTTTGAGCATTTCTATGAGCTAATGAATTCATTTTTCTTCTTTTCTTGTCTCAAAGTGAGAAATACAGCACAGTGAGAATAAATTTTAATCTCCATTTATTAAGCCTATCCTAATATTAATCCTTTGATGTAGCAATTCTTCTAGCTATTTATTGTACAGAAGTACTTACATGTGAGAGATGAAAAAAGTATACAAGGGAATTGGTTGCATTATTTGTTGTAATGCAAAAGATTGATTGTAATGTCAGTGTCTAATAAAGAAATGGATAAATAAAATATGGTACAGTTTATAAATTGGAAAACTATACAGCCATTAAAAAGAATAGCCAACTCTCAATCTATTGAAATAGAACAAGCTCCAGGATTTAATATAAAAGAACCAGCAAGATGCAAAATGCTGTGTGTAGCACATGGTCAGTCATTTGAGTGAAAGAAAGCATGTATGTACCTGTCTCCAAAAGGAAGAACACAGAAGTGTTAAAAACAGATGCTTTTTTTTTTAAGATTTATTTATTTTTTTTATTTGAAAGGAAGAGTTAGAGAAAAAGAGAGGGAGGAAGAGACAGAAAGAGAGAGATCTTCCATCAGGTGGTTCACTCCCCAAATGGCCACAATGGCTAGGGCTGGGCCAGGTCAATGCCAGGAGCCCGGAGCCTCTTCCGGGCCTCCCATGTAGATGCAGGGGCCCAAGCACTTGGACCATCTTCCACTGCTTTCTTAGGCACATTAGCAGGGAGCTGCATTGGAAGTGGAGGGGCTGGGACTGGAACTGGCGCCTATGTGGGATGCTGACACTGCAGGCAGCAGCTTAACCTGCTGCACCACAGCGCCGTTCCAAGTCTTAATTTTTCATCAAGCACCTTTTACCCTTTTGAATTCTACATCAGAAATTTGTATTTCTGTCACAGATAATTTCTAGAAATGTTTAATAAAGCACATTAGGTATTCCTTGGAAGATCATGTGAGGCTCTAGTGTAATTTCATTTTTGTTGTTAATTCAGGTTTCTTTTGGTGTTTTCTCTCCTGACTCTAACTCACCTTCTTGGTATGCTACTTTGAAATTGTCTGCATCCTCTAGGAGGTAGGCTCTCTCCAAGCCAGCATGTTAATATACCTGCAGCTCACCTGGTGGAGAGGGGATAATGGATTACAATAAGAGTTTCTTAAGTGCCTCTCCTTTTGAAAGAAGATTCTATTTAGAATTTAAGTGGCTTTATTCCAGGGGTATTTGTGATCTACTTAGGAGTAAAAGCTAATCCGTTGGATTTCCTGGGCAGTCCTCCCGACTGCTGACAATGCACTCTGCACTAAGAAGTCTCAGCTCATAGCATTCACAGATTTTTTCCCCCACTTCAGAACTAAGAATTGCTTTAGTGAACCTGAGTGCCTGTCAAGAGTGCTAGATTATTAACAACCAAGGGCAAGTTCTTTCCTTATTAACATAGCATGTGTCAAAAGTGTTTTTCTTCAGGTCCTGCCAGTTCCTAACATTTCCTGGAGGAATGAAAGCCACTCAGTGTTCTTTTCCCTTTGACTACTGTGCTTTTCCCAATATTAGAGAATTTCTGGTTTATACTTACAGGTACAGCTAAAAAAAATTCAATATATATTGTCATGATCATACTAAATAAAGATTTGTATACAGATTCTCTATAAACAGCTTTTCATTTCTGTGTGTTCAGCTGAACATTGCTTTAAGCAAACCAGCCTATGCAAATATAATTTTGATTTTTTAAGTTTCTCATATGTATGTGACGTATAATATAGAGCATGATTATTTATACTGTCAAGTATATGTATACAGCAGGATTATTTTAAGTAACAAATGCCACTGATAAGATGGAAATATTCTTTGGATTACAAAATTTTCACTAATGTACTGATTTTCAGTTATCAACATGTTCTGTATGGGGAGCTAGGGAAATGTAATTTGTGTTGGAAATGACAGTACATATTAAGGACCTGCTTTTGTTTTAGAGCCATTAGTGTCCATGATGTCTTTGTATGCGGTAGCATATACATGAAAGAATTCTAATAATTTTTTCTATCACACTTCCAAACTATTGAAATATACAGCCTGAATGACATATCCAGTCCTATAAAAAGTCATTTGCCCAAAGCTGGTTGAATATGGATTATTTTCATTTGTTTTTGCTTATATATTTAATCTGAAAATAATGGAAAGTATGTTTTATTCATTTGTAAAATTGACTCAAATGTGGCTTATGTGAAATGTCCTCCCCCCCCCCAGATTTATTTATTGATTTGAAAGGCAGAGTTACAGAGAGGCAGAGGCAAAGAGAGATCTTCCATCCGTGGGTTCACTCCCCGAATAGCTGCAATGGCTGGAACTGGGCCAATCTGAAGCCAGGAGCCAGGAGCTTCCTCCAGGTCTCCCACATGGGTGCAGGGTCCCAAGGACTTGAGCCATCTTTTACTGCTTTCCCAGGCCATTGCAGAGAGCTGGATGGGAAGTGGAGCAGCGGGACTTGAACTGGCGCCCATGTAGGATGCCAGGCACTGCAGGTGGCAGCTTTACCTGCTATGCCAAAGCACCAGCTCCAAAAAGTCCTTTTTAAAGCAGTTATTTGAGATAATTTAATTTGAAGAGATGCCAGATTTAAGATACATTGAAATTCCTTACATGCCTTATTATCTGTTTTTAGAGAAAGATTAATAGACTTACTTTGCCTATTATTTGGAATTCTTAAAATAAGTTTGTCAAAGCTATTTTATAACTAGTGCTAGTTTTGTAATATAAGGAACAAATGTAATTTTTCATGCAAGTTACTACTGCTTTTTTTTTTTAAAGGTGAGCATAATTTTCATCTGGCAGACTCAAAGGTTGAGATGTGCAGGTATTATGGAAGGTGTTAGTAGCTGCTTACCACTTTTGGAGGTGATTTCTTAGGATGGGCCTATACCACAATTAAGAAAACGCTATAATAATTTGCCTCTTGAGAAGGTTCTGGATTTGCCTGGGATGAGGGATAACTGTCTGTATATGCCATACTTCTATGGCTTGCAGTTGGTATTTTTATTATGGTGATTAATCTGACCCCTTCCCTCCATTATCCTTGTCCAATGACTTGTAACATTTTACACAGACTGTTGTTTAATATTAGTAATGTTTAGAGTGTTTTTAACATTAGTTATTCACTACAAGAGTGACATTATGAAGTTATCATTTTTATCATTTTTTTTTGCCTGAAGTACTCAGATGCACTCTCCAGATAGCCCATATTTTCTGTCTTATGTGGATTCAGTAGCTCTTGTTGAGGCTGGTTTACCTATCCTGTCCTCAATGCTAATGACAGCAAACACATTATACTCTTTACTTCTCTCTCTCTTTTTTTTTTTTTTTAATTTGAAACAGCTAGATAGATCTCTTATCCATTGGTTTTATACAGATGCCCACAATATCTAGGGCTGTGCCACACGAAAACCAGGAGCCTCAGTTCAGGTCTCTGACATAGGTGGCAGGGGCCCAAGTACTTAAGCCATCACCAACTGCCTCCCAGGGTGCACATTAGCAGAAAGCTGGAATGAGGAATGGAGCAGGCACTCAAAATGTTAGATGTGGATGCCCCAGCTGGTATCGTAATCATCATGCCAAACATGCACCCCCTTTTAAAAACTATTTTATTTACTTCAAAGGCAGAGAAACAATGCTTCTATCTCCTAGTACTCAAAATAATCACTGAGTCGTATGTTCTTTGCACAAGAAAGTTAGCCTTTGATTTTATGCCTACTTTCATCTGAAAGCCAGTTTACAAATTAATTGTGATGGCTGGATGAAGTTAAATATGCTCATCAAAACTTAATAAGGAAAGTGACAGATTTTAGTATCATAAAAAAAAGTGCCCTTGATATGCCTGGAATATGGTTCTAGAAGATAAAACTAAGGAGTAAGAGTTGATGAGGCCCCCAAAGTTAGATAAAGGGATAGTCTTAAAGCTGCTCTCTAAAGGGAGTGTGCACAGGTAAGATCAATTCTGTGATTTCAAATGGAATCCCCTGTGTAACCAATGCTTGATGCCTGGCTTGCCTTTTTTTCTGCCCAGAGGTGTGTCTGTCCTCTGAAGCCTGCTAACTTCATAGTTTCTATCCTAGCCTCTGCTTACCTGGGAACACCCTGCAACCAACCTGTGGTTAGAAGCCTTAGAGTTAATTCAACTGCAGCTCCATCTGCCACACATAAGCACCTCCACACCCTTCACTTCTACACTCCATGGTGGCTCACAGTCAGTTAACCCAGAGAGGACTGGTAGGCACCGAATCTGTGCTCTGTGCCCTTTTGGGTCTAAGAATAGGTAGAGTGGCAGCAGCCACGCAGACAAAACAAAGCAGTGGTTAAGGAAGAAAGAGAGAGAAAAGCAAGCATTGGAAGTGGTGGAGAAAAGCAAAGTGAGAATGGGCTATGAGACCATAGTGGATGGAATACAAGTTATCCTGCTTAATCTTTCACTGGGGAGTGATTTTTTTCCCCTTTTTTTTCCTTAGTGAGCCTCTATTTCCTCCTGTTGCAAATTTTAGTTGCATTTCACTGTATTGTTAACTTATGAGCCCACAGGAGGCCTTTGCCAGGTAAAGTCTCGTCATAGCAGGCTCCCTTCACTTATCTCCATAAGTCATTGTAAGGCAGTATGAATATTATTTTGTCTTGTAGGCAATATTGGACGTTGTTGTGAATCTCCAGTTTAGCCTGATAGAAAAATTGTGGCAAACATTCTGGCGCTATTCTCCCACGACTCCAGCTGACGGCACTACCATTACTGAACCAAGGTCAGAATCAATATGCTTTTCCAATTCATTTTCATGGCTGAGTAGATGCCACAGCTAATACATTAGAGATATGTATACCAGTTGTGAACCTTACTTGATAACATTAGTGATTTGATTGATGCTTTGGCCGTTCTAGAAATAAACCACAAATTGCTCTCTTGAGGTTTCAGCGTGCGTATATTGTTCCCATTTTTATTGACGTGGGGGACTGCGGTAGAGTTATTTCATCCTCATAGAATTACTATCATACCTGCGTTTCATACCTTCAGAAGATCTTAATGTGCATAGGCAGCTATGGGGGAGTGTTTTATGTATGTAGATATATATATATATATTTATATCCAGCTGCTAAGGCGCCAGTGCAATAGTGGTGTAGTTATAACCTCAGTAATATTTGATAAACTATTTTTAAAGTCCATTTTCTTTTTTATCCTCATTTGCCATCTATTCATTTGCTACATTTATTCACACCAGCAATCTGAGTGAAATAGAAAGTCGACTTCCGAAAGCAAAGCTGATAACTCTGTGCAAACATGAGTCTATCCTGAAATGGATGTGTAACTGTGACCATGGGATGTACCAGGCTTTGGTGGAGATTCTCATCCCCGACGTCCTTAGACCTATTCCTAGTAAGTTAAATGCAGACAAGTATGGATGCTTTTGTTCTCATACATTCCACTTAGGAAGTTTTGGGAGATGACGTTGCAACCTAGAATGATTCTAATTTCATTTAGATTTGCCAAACAGGAAAACATGCAACATAGAATAGTGCATGAAAGCAGCCTAGAGCAAAACTGTAAAAGGGGAAAAAATATCTGTTTTCCAGTCTTCTATTTTCCTTTTGATAAAAAGGTCAAGCTGTAGATTTGACAGCCTGAATAAACCAATTGCAGGAATACTCCCAGGCCAGTCAGCCATGAAAAAATTATTCTACCACGGACACAGTCCCCTGTGAAAAGCCAAAAATTTTTGAAATCTCTAATTACCACATTTGCCCCTTACATGGTCACTTTTGATTTGAGATGAATTTATCTTGGTTTCCAGGAAAGTTGAGTACCTTCATAAAAGCATTTACTTTGTCCCTTATATAACTTTAAGGACTAGAAGTGCAGTTTCCTTTAACAATAATGGTTAAATGGCATTTCAAGAGAAAAATATAGGTAACTACACAAGCACTGTACACCATGAAGCAAGTGGGAATTACCTAGATAGGTTAGATTTTAACTGATGATGCTTTTTTAACTACCTTGTAGCAAGCAAAGCTATTTTCTGCAGTTATTTCTGGAACTTACAGATACCGTTGGAAACAGTTGAAACTATTCTACACAAATATTCTCATAAGCACACACTAGCCACTTTTAAAGAAAAAAATCACTCTATGCTGATATTAATGGAGTGATAGCGATCTTTTGGCCTGTGAAATTGGCAATCGTGTATTTCAGTACACTGTTCACAAGATGATTTGTGTCCAATTTTCTAAAAATATATAAACAAGGATTTACAAGGGGAATATGTTAACGTTTGTAAGCTTATAGTTTCTTGTTTCTCTAAATTCGATAGAGAACAGTGAAAGATGGATCCTTTCTTTTATTCTCCATGACCATGAATTAGATGCTTTAGATACTATATCAGTGCACACACATTTACATTTATGTAGGAATGAGTAAAAAGCAGTCCAGCTGACCGTGCCTTACAATATAAATTACTAATGTGTTGCACTCTGTGTGTACCAAGTTTCCTGACTAAGGATTGATTAAAAGTGACGTTGCCATCGAAAATTTCACTATATAAATTCTGTGCTGATTTATGTTCCTTAGTCTGATTTTCCTTGTTTTGCTCTTGCTCCTGGTATTCTGAGTGATGATGATTTCCAGAGATGTTAGAAGAAGTTGCATATGGTAGCTCATTAGCCTATGACACCTTACCGCCAGCGTGCAATTTCTCTCGTGAGACATAAGAAAGGATGTCAGGGAGTGCTTTCTTTTTTGAGGCAAGTCAGCATCAGTATTCATTAACCAGTTCTGATTTTGCTTCTCTAATAGCATCACCAGAAGTTAACCTGGGAACATAGCAGTTCCCTAATTTAAATCATGTATCAATTTTAGTTCACTTTAAACTGCATAATTTTCACTACAGAGTACACTTGACCTTTGTCTTTAGTACATTTTGATTTGAAAACCAGTTTATTCTGTCAAATGATTTGTCTTTACATTCAGCAGACAACTGAACAGTTTTATTTCTGTGAAATTACCAGATGCATCAATGTACCACCCAACCAAGGACATCTGGAAATTTAATTCCCATTCCACAGTGAGACTTAACAAAACAAAACTAAAAATATGATTTAGATAGCTGTCTTCTGATTGTATGCATTTTTAATATTAATCTTGAGCAGGTTAAGACAAGTCAGCTTTAGAATAGATTTTAAATTCCAGGATTTCCATGGATGAGCCCTTAAAAGTTGTCAGAGTCGATCTACACAATTTTGATCTCACATGAATCCCTGTAGAGAAAGAAAACTTAATTGTATTTTTAAAAATCGTGTTTTCCTGGCTACTAGTACTTCACTCTACCATTTTCTATCCAGATGGAATTTCTTTTTTTAGCCAAAAAAAGTCTGTACATCACACTAATTTAAAGTCAGCTTAAAGCTACTGTATTCTAAAATACATTTATCTGAGGATGAAAAAAATTAAGTGTAAAGTATTGTATAAGAACTCAACTGGTAACAAATGTACAATTACAAGTATAATTAAAGATGACCTAGATTATCATTTAGTAGAAAAAAGTAAAAACTTACAATTATTTAGTGTGCAAAATACCTTTTTGTTTTATAATTTCCCTTGCATCAAACTTGTCAGGACAAAGTTCATATTAATTTTTTTAATAAAAGGAACATACATAAACAGGTTCTTGGGTTTTTTTTTCAGATTAAGTAATTGTTATTTATTAGCTACAGGAAAAATGGAATATGCAGATTACCTAAGTTTAACCTGGAACAAAATTTTACCTAGTTTCAAAAAGGTTATTAATTTTTTTTCACTCTTTCATTTCCATTCATGCCTGCCCTTCATGGTTCTAGTACATAATATAACAGAAAGATATTTTTCTTTCTTTTTTTCTTTATTGACTAACATAGGAAACTGTGGAGATTTCAAGATTAGTTCTCAAGAAATTTCTGATTCAGTGTTTCCAATAAATGATTCTCATGGTTAATAGTCTGTGTTTCTTGAATGCTTTTCCTATTCAAAATTTAGGTCATTTCAATCTTTTCTATCATTTTACCAGTGAGATATAGCTTTTTTTTTAAAATGTTTTTGTTAATGGAATAGTAAATTTTCTATCTTTTGCAAATAACTTGATGGGCTAAATTATTTCTAACACCTGCTTTCATAAAGTAATAGAGAAGCAGGTCAGATACATTTGAGCATCAAAATAAATACCAAAAAATTTAATACTATCATTAACATTATTATTCTTTGGAGCCTTGGTCAAAAATACAGTTTCTCTGTTTCTTATTGTAGACTACAGGTTTTGGTACCACAGTAAAGGTAACCTACAGAGGTTAGTTTTGTGTTTTGGTTACTTCAACACTGATTAAATATCTAAAACTACTCGTTACACTGTGGAGCCTTGGGCACAGAGGAAATAAAATCCTGTGGCCTGAATTGCTTTTAACAACCTCAGTAAGAAAAACCCTTTTTGTAAAGTAGTAATAGTTATCCCTGATAACTAAAAATGCTTCTAGTCATTTTATGACCACCATAAAATCTTCTGTTATGGGACCTTTCACTAGTTCAAGTTTTAACTGATGTGCAGAGTTTGGCATGAAATATTTTAGGAATATATTATAAAAGATTGGCCTCTGTGACGAAAATTTCCTTGCATCGATCTTTTTGTCTCTACCTGCCAAGTGAAATGGAAAATAGTTATCCAGAATTTTCAAGTCAGAGAATTTTAATATTTACCTCACTTTTCAACTAGATAGTGATAACTACTCCAGTTCATAGGTTCTGTTTAAAATAGATGCAGACAGAGAAAGCTTTGTATTTGTTTTATTTTTAACCAAAGATGTAAAAATGGGTTAAAAGTTTGAAAAATAATCAAGATGAAGAATTTATAAAGAAAAAGACTTAACCTTTGAGCAAAAAAATCTGTTAATGAAAAGAGTGCTTTTTCCATGCTAGGAAATATTCACAACTGGTATATGTTGCTTTAAGCAAAAATGTTTGAATGTTTTCACTTCCTAACAAAGTGTCATAAGTATCTGGGAACAAAATGCCTTTCAAGTAATTTTTAAAAAGCTCAGAGTATAACTCTTGAATGCTTTAAAAAGTTAGGAATAATGTTACAGCTTTGTTGATGAGGACACTATAATATTGAATGCTGTGTATGCATGTTTTCCCTTATTCTAGCATAGATTAATATTCTTTGTTATCCATTTTCTTCTGCTTTTATTCTTTCACATTCAGGTGCCTTGACCCAAGCCATTCGAAATTTTGCAAAAAGCCTTGAAGGTTGGCTTTCCAATGCCATGAACAATATTCCACAGAGAATGATACAAACCAAGGTACATTTTTATATCTTTGGTTTTTCTTTTGTGTTTAGGAAAGCAGTTCTTCAAATGGAGAATTATCTCAGACTCGCTCAGTGCGATGATGAGGATTGTGGAGTATTTAGCTAGAAATGGGAGTTCTAGTTGCCATGCTGTCCCCTGCTGGCCAGGTTGCTTTGTGGCAAGACTGGACAGATTCTCAATTTTGATACCCAAAATCACATTCATGGCTTTTTGTCAGTGACATATCCACTATGCAGCTCCAACAATATACTTGGTATTTCAGCTTAGGGGCAAAGCTAATAGTTTGAAATTCTTGTAGTTGGCAAGTCTCTTTGGAAACAGGTAGCTCCTGCATTGCCTTAAAGTCTGCTTCAGAGTATTCTCTCAGTAGCGCTTACAGAGGAAGGCAGTGTTTCATTGATTTGCCTGCCATGATTGTTGCTCTAGGCCATGCTGTCAATATATTAAGACTGTTTAAATTTGACTTTTAGTTAAAATTAAGTCAGATGAAAATTGAAGCTGCTCACACTAGCTGCGCTTGAAGTACTCAGCTTTTTTGTTGTCTGGTGATCGCTCTGTTGGGCAGCACAGATGCAGAGCGTTTTCATGGCTGCAGGAAGTTCTGTTTGGCGGGGCTGTTGTAGGGTATTACATGAAGGTGGATACACATACGAGAAAAAGTGCTGCTTGCCAGAGAGGAATCCTTTCTAATTTGCAAAATCAGTCATAATTGTAACAATACATCCAACAGCTAAAAACACTTCCCCTCCCAATGTCATGAAAGTGAATAAGGTAGCAGTACAAAAACCACATAGACCATCTCACTGACCACCACAGTTGATTTGGATGATTTGCTATGGCAGAAGGTGTTCTCTTCTCTTCTGCTCCTCCTGATACCCGTTTTCAGCTCAGCATGCAATCAATTAAGACAGTTTAACCTGACAGAAGAAATAGTATTCCAGTGTGGCCTCTGTAGTTGTAGGGTTCAAAATGCCTGGGTTTCTATCCCACACTTTAATGGAGTGGAGTTTCCATGCAAGCTTGAGCAGCTACTTAACCTCTTGAAAACAGAGTATGTGTGAAGTAGGGTGGTTTTGAGAACTGAACAAGGTAATATATGTGAGGCACTTAACCCAGTGCCTTGCAAATAGCATGTACTTGATTAATATAAACCACAAAAATGGAAAAGCGCTCAAGACTCTTCCAAGGATATGTGAGCTTCCCCTACGAGTCCCATGTAGTCCCAAGACATCTCACTGCTATTGCAGAACAACCCCTCATACTAGTTGGAGGTCTTGATATAGGACCTCCAAACAAACATGCAGAAAACTATCACTGACATCAGGGTGGTGGAATAAAGTAGGTATTTATTGCAAAGCACAGAGCAAGCAGCCTGGCAGCTAGTGCTTAATTCCTGGGCTCTCCAAGAAGTTGGGGTGAAGGTTCTAATAGATTGTATTTGGATCTGAGAGGTGTGTGTTCACTTCTTCCCTAAGTTCCAGGTTGGTCAGTGGTGCTAGAGAGCTTCCTCTGATTGATTGGTGATGCTTGGTCTCCAGGGCATTTATGATGGGCTGCTGGGCCTCAGTTGGTCTGGTGTTTCCATGTAAGTGTTAATTACCTTCTGCCTCACACCTGGAATTTTTCTGCCTGGACCTGGAATTCTACTAAACCGCTCCAGACAATACTAGCCAACAGGGTTTTATCTCTTGGAAAAATATGTCTTGTTGAGTCCAGTGATTAGAACCTTGTTGGCATAGGTATACAACTTTCAAAGTTAAGTGAATTCCTTCTGATAAAGGACAGGCAAGGACACCTTGGGCTTAGGGAGACTGATGAGATTCTGGGTCCTGCCTTTACATTACAGGGGTGTGGTCTCACTGTCAGGGTGGAGCACCCTGTGCCCTGTGGCTATCCACTACTGCTCGGCCAAAACATTGTCCAATTACTTGTTTCAGGAATACCTGTGATGACTTAATGCAAAACGTACATTCCTGTAAATGTGGTAAAATGGTTAACATTTTTAAAATGTTGGAATCATTGGATCTACTGTGCATGTAACAGATTTCCATGAAATTAGGTATTTATCTAGACTTTGTCTTTCTTTCTTGCATTATCCTTGATATCTTCCACCATAAACTATTTCCTGGAGGGTCCCAGCAGGAAAGAAATGGTACATCCAAAGCAGAGGTAGATTGGGGTGGGAGGAAAAGATAACTAAAGAGATTTTAAGAAGAGTTGATTTCCAGAGGTGCCCATGCTAAAGCACCCCAATTGAAATTAGACTTAACCAGCCCTAAGTCTGAAAGGTTAAGAGATGAAAACCTTATCTTTAGAAAATCCCTTCCTTTTTTTCTCAAGGGCCGTGGTAGCCATAAGATAGGAAAGCAGACTCTGTCCAAAAAGAGAGAGCAGAGGTTGCAAGAAACAAATAATCTCTTTCCTCCCCTACCGTCTCTTACCATTACCTGTTGTTGGTCATACCCGGCTGGAAGCCAGAGGGCAAGAAAAGATATTACTGAATTTGGTTTAGCCTTTACGGACACAGCACAGGGTGGAGAAGATTGAAAAATAGCTTTTGAAGGGCAGATGGAGGTTTCCTGAATAGCCCCTTTCATGAAATTCAAATTAATTATAAAGAGTTGCTTGTCTCTGATACATTTATTAACAGTATAGTTGCTGATAAAGGTTATGAGCTCTTATTTCCTCTCAGAATTATCCAGGTTTTTATTAAATAAGGTAGTAAGAGTGAATCTGAATGGTATTAGTCTGAAAAGTATTTTATAATCCAGTTAAAAAGGTATGTTTGTGTATTTTGGTTTTCCAGATGTAAAAAAAAAGTTTTTATTTGCCTACTTTCTAATAGAGTGAAAAGAATGAAAAATAGTATTTTTTTCTACTCCCCTAGACAAAGTCATTTCTTGCTATGGATGAGTAGTTACTTACAAGATTGGTTTAATTAATGCTGCACTCAAATGTCAAAGAATGTGGGAGTTTGTTTTAATCTTGACCTCAACCTACTCAAAAGAAAAATAATACTTGGTTTAAGAGATTTAAATGCTGTAATTTACAAGTAAACTCGAACCAAATGAATTTCAAGTAAGTGTCAAAGAGAAGCATTTAAAATTTGGCAAGGGAAAAAAGTTTGAAGATTATGGTGGTTTCTTATACTGGAAGGAAAAAAAAAACCCAGCTTAATTGGGTTTCTTTGCAGGTTGCCGCTGTAAGTGCCTTTGCCCAGACTCTGCGAAGATACACGTCTCTCAATCACCTGGCCCAGGCAGCTCGCGCAGTGCTTCAGAACACTTCCCAAATCAACCAGATGCTCAACGACCTCAACCGTGTGGACTTCGCCAACGTCCAGGTACTCTGTCTCTTTGCAAAACGTATTTTTAAGTAAAGATATTCAATTTGTGCTTCTTAACTTGGATCATCTCATCTGTATGCAGGCATTTGTATTCACAGTGTCCTGAAAGAGAGGAGTTTTACTCAGATAGGACTGTGGTTTGTAGGTAGTCTACTGAGAGTTATAGTTCTAGAAGGTAGTGTATTATCTTACCTGGCTTTGCTGAATAATGCATGAGTAATGAAGATCACAGTCATTGAAATCAGGCCAAAAATTACACACCTCCATCTATCAGTGGGACTTTGGGCAAGTTACATAACTACTATGAACTTTCTTCACCTTACAGAATCCTATCTTGGATAGTTGTTTACATGTTTAGTAATTTTTACCATGACAAACACAAAGATATTTATGTTTTTATAGTATCCAGCTTTTCAAGAACTAAAAGAAACTCTATTTCAGAGTTTACTATAGGTTTCTATTAAACATTTATTCACCTGAAAAGAACTAGATATAGTCAGATTGTTTATTTTGATAGTTGCAAGTGAAAAAAAATTTAACTTTATAATCAAACTACTCACTACAACTTTATAGCTTTAAAAATAAAAGATCTAATGATGTTATTATAGAATTCCAGCAAATACTTTATTTCTGTTACTAAGGAAATGAAACTTATTGTTACTGCATAAAACAATGCTATTGCGCACCAGAAGCATAGGCAACACAACAATAAAATACATACACCAAACATAACTACAAATTTCAAACTTTTGGTCTTCAAAAGACAGCATTAAGAAAGTAAAATGGGGGAAGGCATTTGGTGTAGCATTTAAGAAACTCCTTGGCATGCCCACATCCCATATCTGAAATCCCAAATTAAGGTCCAACTCCACTTCTTATTCCAGCTTCCTGCTACTGTATACCCTGGGAGGCAGCAGCAATAACTCAAGTGGTTGGGTCCCTAACCCCCACAGGGGAGATCCTGGCCCCTGGCTTCAGCCTAGCCCAGCCTTAACTATTGCAGGCATTTGGGGAGTGAACCAGGAGATGGGGTATCTGTCTCTCTCTATCTCTGTTTCAGTGTTTCAAATAAATAAAGACAAACATTTAAAAAAGTGAAATGACAACTCACAGAATATGAGGATTTTTTTTGCAAATCATTTATTTTTTATTTCTTTTAAAGATTTATTTATTCAAGAGGCAGAGTTCCAGACAGAGAGAGGGAGAGATAGAGAGAGAGGTCTTCCATCTGCTGGTCTACTTCCCAAATGACCACAATGGTCAGAGCTGGGCTGATCCAAAGCCAGGAGCCAGGAGCTTCTTCTGGGTCTCCCATGTGAGTGCAGGGGCCCAAGCAGTTGAACCATCTTCCACTGCTTTCCCAGGCCATCAGCAGGGAGCTGGGACTTGAACCATGTGGGATGCCGGCACCATAGGTGGAAGCTTAACCTTCTACACCACAGCTGCAGCCTCAAATTATCTATCTTATAAATGACTTCTGTCAAGAATATGTAAAGAACTATTATGTATACCACAATAATAAAAAGATGACCTGATTAAAAAATGGACAAAAATCTAAGAGATGCTTCTCCAAAGAAACTATACAGATGGTAAATAAGTGTGTGAAGAGTTGCTCAACATCATTAGCCACGTTAAATTAAAGCCACAATAAAGGGCCAGCGTTGTGGCATAGAAGTAAAGCCTCCTCCTCCTGCAGTGCCGGCATCCTTGCAACTGCATGGGAGACCTGGAAGAAGCTCCTGGCCCCTGGCTTCAAATCGGTCCAGCTCTGGCCATTGCAGCCATTTGGGGAGTGAGCCAATAGATGGAAGACCTCTCTCTCTCTCTCTCTCTCTCTGCCTCTGCTTCTCTGTAACTCTGCCTTTCAAATAAATAAATAAATCTTAAAAAAAAAAAATAATGAAGTCCCACTTCATATATGAGGGTTTTTTTTTGTTTTGTTTTGTTTTTTTTTTTTTTTTTTTTTGACAGGCAGAGTGGACAGTGAGAGAGAGAGACAGAGAGAAAGGTCTTCCTTCCGTTGGTTCACCCTCCAATGGCTGCTGTGGCCAGCACACCGCGCTGATCCGAAGCCAGGAGCCAGGTACTTATCCTGGTCTCCCATGGGGTGCAGGGCCCAAGCACTTGGGCCATCCTCCACTGCACTCCCGGGCCACAGCAGAGAGCTGGCCTGGAAGAGGGGCAACCGGGACAGAATCCGGCACCCCGACCAGGACTAGAACCCCGGGGTGCCGGCACTGCAGGTGGAGAATTAGCCAAGTGAGCCACGGCGCTGGCCCTGAGAGGGGTCTTCAAAAAGTTGACAATAGGATGCATAGTATGAACAAACTGCATGAATTTAAAATTCTTTTGCACTGAGATAAATTTATCTTCTGATTCCAGTTTATCCACAAACTTTTTGAAGTGTCCTTTTACACTAACATTAGTTAATCATCCTTGTTTCTTTTCCTTTTCTGTTCCAAGTTTTACCATGTTTTCACAATGTCTTCTGTTTCCCATTCCGTCTTTATCACCCTCTCCTATTAATTTGGAAATGGTGCCTACTCCTACAACATTTATCTCAGTAAGACTGACAAATATAAGGCTGATGTTCTTAGAATAAAGTATAGCTTAACCTAGTGAAATTACATGTAAATGTCAGTATTACAGTACTCTAAGAGTTTGAAACTCCTTACTACTTCATTCTCTAAATCAATCTTTTCCTCATGCATTGAAGATAATTTTTTTTTAGTGTGTAGTTGGTCTTCTGCTCTCTTTAACTGATAGCGTTACAAATACATCATTCTCCAATCATGTACATGTACTGTTGTTCTTCTGCAGTGTTGACTAAATACTTTGGGTGACCTGAACTTACAACCTAGCTATTGTATATACTTGCTTTTTAAAATTTTTTTTTAAATTTTTTGCCAGGCAGAGTTAGACAGTGAGAAAGAGAGACAGGGAGAGAGTTATAGACAGTGAGAGAGACAGAGAGAAAGGTCTTCCTTCTGTTGGTTCACCCCCCAAATGGCCGCTACAGCCGGCACTGTGCCGATCCGAAGCCAGTTGCTTCCTCCTGGTCTCCCATGTGAGTGCAGAGACCCAAGCACTTGGGCCATCCTCCGCTGCCCTTCTGGGCCACAGCAGAGAGCTGGACTGGAAGAGGAGCAACTGGGACTAGTATCCGACACCCCAGCTGGGACTAGAACCCCAGAGTGCCGGCGCTGCAGGCGGAGGATTAGCCAAGTGAGCCACGGCGCCACGCCGGCCTATTGTATGTACTTGTTTGTGTATTTAAAAGGCATTCATATTTGAAAGTTCCTGACTACTTGTCATTTTGTATATAATTTTTTTGTAAGTTAAGAACACCTTTAAAGATCATTCTTAGGTTTTATTATAAAATTGAAATAACCAAATTCCTATCATGAGGAAAATATTTACATTGAACTCTATCATTAGTTTATTTTCAGTTTAGCCCCTACAACATTACCTTCCATAAGAATGCATAAGGGTGATACTGACAAATATGCTTAAAAAAAGGTTTATTAGAGTTTGATAAACCAAAATAATGTGCCATAGTTTTTTTTTTTTTTTTTAAAGATGTATTTATTTATTTGAAAGTTGAGTTACAGACAGTGAGAGGGAGAGACAGAGAGTGGTCTTCCATCTGCTGGTTCACTCCCCACGTGGCTGTGATGGCTGGAGCTGTGCTGATTCGAAGCCAGGAACTTGGAGCTTCTTCCAGGTCTCCCACATGGGTGCAGGGGCTCAAGCATCTGGGCCATCTTCTACTGCTTTCCCGGGCCATAGCAGAGAGCTGAATTGGAAGAGGGGCAGCCAGGACTAGAACCCAGCGCCCAATGGGATGCCGGCACCGCAGGTGGAAACTTAACTCACTGAGCCACAACACCGCCCCTCTGTGCCATAATTTTATTTCTCTGAGTTACATTTTAGGTCAAAAATGTTTCTTGGCAAAAATCTAACTCCCAAGTAAATAATGAGTCTGAACTTATGGTAAGAAATAAAACTAAATTCTTCCACAGATGCCTGTAAGGTTCTCCTTCCTGTTATCAATATACAAACCCAGAACAACCTCCCCTACAGTGGGTATAGAGTTTCCATTTTTTTAGTTGAAGAACTTCTAGAGATCTCTTGCATAGCAAAGAGTGCTGTGCTCTTAAAAATGGTGGAAGTGGTGAGTATCAAGTATTTTTTTTATCAAATAAAAAGAATGCTTAGATGTTAATGAAAGAATAAAACACTACCTCCTATCGCTTTCTTGATGCTCAGAAATGTCCCCTGGGGGCCGGTGCCTGGGCTCACTAGGCTAATCCGCCTGCAGCGCCGGCACCCCGGGTTCTAGTCCCAGTCAGGGCGCCGGATTCTGTCCCAGTTGCTCCTCTTCCAGTCCAGCTCTCTGCTGTGGCCGGGGAGTGCAGTGGAGGATGGCCCAAGTGCTTGGGCCCTGCACCTGCATGGGAGACCAGGAGGAAGCACCTGGCTCCTGGCTTCGGATTGGCACAGCGCCGGCTGTAGTGGCCATTTGGTGGGTGAACCAACGGAAGGAAGACCTTTCTCTCTGTCTCTCTCTCTCACTGTCTAACTCTGCCTGTCAAAAAAAAGAAAGAAGGAAAAAAGAAAAAAGAAGTGTCTTCTGGGAGTCCTCAGGGACCCTTAAATTGATATGAAAAATATTAGAGTCATTTGACAGTGTATATTAAAAGATCTTAGCTATTCTTCTTATATAAATCTATCATAATAAGTGTGAATATAACAAAGATAAAGTTACAAGATTACTAATTCTAGCTTTATTCATAATAATAAAATGTAGGAGTCAACAAATGTCTAACTGTATGAAATTGGTGATATAATTATATATTAATGTAATGAAACAAATTAATTCACTGAAAACAGATACAACTCCACATTTGCCTCAGTAGAAAAATAGTTAAAATCTTTAAGCAGAGTATGTAGTTTCATATAATATAATTCTCTTTTATGTTAATATTTACATATGGATAAGGATAAATATATAAGCAAGTATAGTGTTGCATATATTACATATGAAGTTACATTTGTGTTAAAACAAAAAGTTTGTGTTAAAATGGAATTAAGAGGTAAGTTTATTTTGATACAAGAAAATTTTGAAATATATGCACATTTTTTCATTATACTATTTTACATGTTCTTTTTAAAGTACTTTGTATGAATAAATACATGTATTTTTATATGAATGTGAGAGCCTGAAGGGTTATATACATCAAGTAGCATTCTTTATTGTTGCAATTTTAAATATTCTAAATATTTTGTTCCTTTGACTTGCTTGTACTCTCAGTTTTTTCTAGCATTACATTTTCATGTACTTACAATATGTGAAAGTGATGTTTAGATGGTAACAGCTGAAAGAATTTATGATTCGCTAGACAAAAGAAACCAGACTAGTGGATCTCAGCCCCTGAGATGCAGTCAGAACCATGGATTTCCCTGGGGAAATCAGATAACCTGAGGGTGAGGCATTTTGCATTTGAAGTGCCTCCAAGTTGAAATGACCCTGAATAGATAAAAGTCTGTAGGATCAGGAGAGATGTGGAAACTCGGGATTGGAGATTTGAGATTTATTCAGTTGAAATTGGTAATTGGAATGAACTGACAACCATATAGAATAAAAGTTGTAGATACTTTTGTTTCCAGAAAAACACATACATACTCACAATATTCTACAGACAGACTTAAGACTTTTACAGACACATCACCAGAGAAGCCCATCTTGACAAAATTATCCAAACACATCTTAAAAATTCTTGTTAACTTTTATTTGTCAAATGTTATGCTTAGGGGAACTAAGGCCCACATAGATGGAATTAATTGCCAGAGGTCAGTTTGGTTGATCAAGACCTAGTTTATAATCCATATCTTCTGGCTCTCAGTCAAATATTATATTACCAAATAGTTGCATTTTGACCTTGAGAGAATATATTTTTAATCCTCACATGCATTGTAGGACTAGAATCATTATAAAATTTATGGCAACCACTGGAGAGTAGCTTTAAAAGTACCAGTTTGCATTGCAGCTGCTAACCATGAAGCCCCCCAGTCAGAATCAGGAGGAAAATTGCAAGAATCAAATTTCTTGGCAGGTAGCAATCTACATTTTTCTCAGAAGAGTTTTTGTTGTTGTTTTAAGTCCTGTGAATTAATTTGCATTTATAGCCTTGCCTTGAAAGCCCTTGAGATTTTTGTTCCCAATCCATAAGCTCCTACAGCATATGCTTCTACCTAGTACCATTCAGAATATTTGTTTCTGTTCTGCTCTTAAGAGATCGTTTTTTGGCTGATTGGACTTATTTATCCATCTGACTTACCTCAGGAATCTTCTCATGTGAATTTGGAAGTTTGGCCTCACAGGGTGGGGATTGAGGGTTGGGGGGAGACGGTATGAAAACTGAAGAAAATGAAAGGCTGCATACTGTAGGTTTGGGCTTCTAGTTTTGTTAAGTAATCACGTATTTTAGTCTTTTGCACAGTCTAGCTAATGTAGAAAAACCAGGTCATGCTTTTAATCCCACCACATCTCATGTACCAGAGTAAACAAAGAGAGGTAGTACAGCCCTACAACTGCCAAAGGTTTTTCCTTAACAACTGACAGGTAGGTGTTTATTTTCTCAGTTCGTTTATACTGTTTGATGCTTTTATTATAATTTCCCCCTTGTGCATTTCTTCTTCGTGCTGACATTCCGTGAGAAGATGCTGAGTTGAGTTTTGCTTTGCTTTCTGTGTTGTGTCCAGGAGCAGGCTTCCTGGGTGTGTCAGTGTGATGACAACATGGTTCAAAGACTAGAAACAGACTTCAAGATGACGCTACAGCAGCAGAGCACTCTGGAGCAGTGGGCCGCGTGGCTTGACAATGTGATGATGCAAGCCCTGAAACCCTACGAAGGAAGGCCCAGTTTCCCAAAAGCCGCCCGGCAATTTCTGCTAAAATGGTCTTTCTACAGGTAACGTCTTAGCTGTTCTGGAGATTTCTTCTCCTTAGTCTGTCAATAGGAGAGAGCCTCTCGGACAAAAGAGATAAGTGAAGACTTTAACTTGTGAGGAATCCTTGTTAGAACTGTCCTCAACCGAGCTCAGTGATTATGACAGCACGGAAACAAACCAAGAGATTTATAGAAGTAAACTTGGCTAGAATTGGAAATGTTCTTGCTAAAAGCTCTATGTATTCTCAGGTGTGAACATCTAGGATTCCAGTGTGGATAGTGCGCTCAGCAGTACTGTAGAGGCCACACTCCTTACTCTGGCAGCTTCCATAGTTTAAACTTCTCTCTTGAGGTCTTCATACCACGTTTCTTTGGTTCTGTTGTTCATTGATCTTCAAATTGTGCTCTCTACCCCACTAGCATCACTGTCACTTGGAAATGTATAAGAAATGCAGTCTTGGGCCCCCATCCAAAATCTGCACGAATCAGAATCTGTAAAGATCTAGCAGTCTGTATTTTTCTTTAAAGATTTATTTATTTATTTGAAAGAGTTACAGTGTGTGTGTGTGTGTGTGTGTGGAGGGGGGTTGGGGTGTGGCAGGGAGAGACTGAAAGAGAGATCTTCCATCCACTGGTTCATTCTCTGAATGCTGCAGTGGCTGGAGCTGAGCCTGTTAAAAGTAAGGAGCCAGGAACTTTGTTGAGGTCTCCCACATGAGTGCAGGGACCCAAGGACTTGGGCCATCCCTTGCTGCTTTCCCAGGTGCATTAGCAGGGACCTGAATTGGAAGTGGAGCAGCCAGGTCTCAAACCATTGCCTATATGAGATACCAGCATTGCAGGTGGCAGTTTTATCCAGTCCACCACAGCCCAACCCCAGCAATCTGTATTTTGAAGTGCTCCAGGTCATTCTAAGGTGTGCACATAACCATCTAGTTATTTTCTTAATTGTATTAATTCCAACTGTTTGATAGCCTTGCTGTACATGTTAAAAAAATTCCTTCCTGCTTCCTGAGACATATGAAATCAGAATCTTGGTAGACCAGAAGGGAATGGGGAGAGGGGGAAGAGAAATGGGTGAGTTGTTTCTTTGTTTTCCAAGGAACTATGCTGGTGATTCTAATGTACAGTCAATAATGTAACATAGCTTATTAATAATGTGAATCACCATTTGACTAACATAGTATAGAGAAAATTTATGTTTTTATAGACATAGAAGAAATCCAGGAGAGAGAGGCTTTCTGATTACATAATAGATGATGTAAAAAATTATTTATTGACCTTAATACTGCTGCAAGGTTTAAAAACGGCATTTATTAGCAGTGGAGGTCAGCATTGATAATATGCACACAGAAACACACATGATGGAATTGGCTGATGGAATTTTATTTTCCTAAGTTATATAAGTTCTGTTTTTTAAATGATATATATTTATTTATTCATTTATTTGAAAGACAGATATCTTCCATTCTCTGATTCAGTCCCCTATTGGCTACAACAGCCAGGTCTGGCCCAAGCTGAAGCCAGCAGCCAGGAACTCCACCTGGGTCCCTCATGTGGGTGGTGGGTACATGGGCCATTTTCTGCTAGTTTCCCAGGTGCATTAGCAGAGAGCTGGATCAAAAGTAGAGCAGCAGGCACTGCAACATGGGATGCCAGCATCAAAAGCAACAGCGTAACCTGCTGTACCACAGTGCCAGCCTGGGAGTTCACCTTTTTAACACTGGCATTTGTTCTTGTAGAGTTTATTTTGATTCTTTAGTGAAAGAAAGCCCCACTGACTTGGGCTGAAAAGCCAATGCTATTTAAATGAATAGGTAATTCCTAGTTTATAACCCATGCTGCCATGCAAATATGAGAAAGTCATGACCACAGGGCATATCCATGACTGTCACTGTGGTTGCCATGTGAATGTCAATGGTGAGTCCAAAGGTGACTGTTAGAAGAGATGGTAGAATAAATTTATGAATTGGGCCGGCACCACAGCTCACTAGGCTAATCCTCTGCCTTGCGGCGCCGGCACACCGGGTTCTAGTCCCGGTCGGGGCGCCGGATTCTGTCCTGGTGGCCCCTCTTCCAGGCCAGCTCTATGCTGTCCAGGGAGTGCAGTGGAGGATGGCCCAAGTGCTTGGGCCCTGCACCCCATGGGAGACCAGGATAAGTACCTCGCTCCTGCCATCGGATCAGCACGGTGCACTGGCCACGGTGGCCATTGGAGGGTGAACCAACGGCAAAAGGAAGACCTTTCTCTCTGTCTCTCTCTCTCACTGTCCACTCTGCCTGTCAGAAAATAAATAAATAAATAAATAAAAATAAATTTATGAATTGGAAGTACTTGTGACCCCAGTAGGACCAGGATATAAGATTCCCACCTTGTTTTCATCGCTTTTGTAAAGATGGCACCAGAGCTCTTTGAATCATGATGACAGTTGCTTTGATTTTTACTATAAATGACTTATGTCTCCTCTGACTTGGCCTGATTTTTCTTTCTTTTTTATAATTCTCTGAAATTATTTTTTAAAGATTTATTTATTTGTTTGAAAGACAGACCTACAGAGGCAGGATGAGACAGAGAGAGAGAAGAGAGAGGGAGAGAGAGAGATTTCATCTGCTGTTTCACTTCCCAAATGGTCCTGGCCAGGCCAAAGCTAGGAGCCTGGAACTTCACCTGGGTCTCCCGCGTGGGTGCAGGGCCCCAAGCACTTGGACCATCTTTCATAGCTTTCCCAGGCCCATTACCAGGGAGCTGGATTGGAAGTGAAATAGCCAGGACATGAACTGGCAACTCTATGGGATGCCAGCATTACAGGCAGTGGCTTTATTTGCTATACTCTAACACCGATGAAGTGAAGGTAATAGATAAGCCACTTCTGTGTAATTGAGTAATTTCCAGTGTTTATCCCAGAGTCACATGCAGTGAAAGAAAGCCTGCTACCATTTTATTGTTGCTTTGTTTTGGTTTTTATACTGGTGTAATTCCATATTTCTGCTTCTCATCTATTTAATTCTTTGAGCTCACGTGAATTGAGAAGTTCACTACTAAGGTCTTTGACTCTGCCCAGCTGGTAGTCTACAGTGATGTCAGTGCTGGGTTTTGATCTAGGTGTTGATGAGAAATTTCATTTGCTCCTTGATACTTCAGGAAGGTTTGGAAAGCATTGTCATGGTGTCCTCAGAGTGTCTGTAGTAACAGTGCTAATAATGGTGGAGTTCAAAATTTTAATTTGAGAGCAGATCTCAGATGTTTTCCCATTCACTTGAAAGTTGGTATTTTATTCATCAGTTTTTTCCCCAGAAAATAATGACCATGGCCTGACATACATGTTCCATGAGTGAAGGGTAGAAGCAGGAATAACACTGTCCTAAAACGTGTCTGACCGAAGACACAAACATCCTCTGCATCAGAGAAAACAAGGCTTTTGCTTTTTCCCTTCCGCTGTTTTCTTACATTGTTGATGTCAACCTTGCCCTTACTCCTTCCTGTGGTTTTTCTCTTTCTATATTTGGTTGATATCATTTTAGAAATACACCCCTGCAGCCTTCTTTCCACAGAGATCTGTTGCAGGTATCTTGAAAGGAGAGAAAATTACTTACTTGTGTTTCTTGTTCTCTGCAGATACACAAACCCAGTAGATCATCACTTGCCTGCCCTCTGTCCTCCCTGAGTTGGGGATAATTGGCTTGTTATTATTAGACACCATTATGGCTATTATTTTCATTTCAAAAAGACTCAAAGGCATACACTTCAGGGCCACAGAAGGAAAGGCACATTCAGACAAATGTGTCCCTCCTGCTGGTAGACCAAGTCAATAGCAGAGAGACTTAAGACCCTTTAATATATGAGCTGGTTTTCACTGAGGCATAAGAACATATTGAGTACTGAAAACTGCATTCACAGACTATCAGAAAAGCAGAAATACATTATTTTAAAAATGTTTTTGGCATCATAATTGCCAAAAATTTATGAGTCTATAAGTGCCATTGTAAATTCGGCAGTCACATTCATAGATCCTGCATCTTTTAGTTAATCTCCTAATTTCTAAAGTTCTGTGTATAAATTTACATGCACAGAAATCTAGAAACCTACTGGCAAAGGATCTTGGAGGTTGCATTTGGTATACTGCTGCACACACACACTCTGTGCCGAACAGGGGTCTCTCCTTGCTGAACCTGGCTTTTGAATGGCTAATGTTGGCTTCCTGGGAAGTAGGAAAAACAAGTGACTGCCTTTCCCAGATAGAAATAGCAAAGTATATGGGCCATTTCTCAGGTTGTGCATTGTGCATTGTGCATTGAGCATTCCTCAGGGTCACCCTGACAGTCATCCAAATATTCCATTTGTAAAAATGCCTGGAAAGGAGGGGAAGAGAACCACATTTGCTTGTACCCTGACAATATATAAATGTTCCAGAAACCAATACCTTGAACTCTGAGCACTGCTCAAAGACAGAGTTCACGTGGGGGTCACAGGTGTGATGTTTTCACCTGTCTTCTTAGGAAGAGTCTGATGCATGCTCCAATGTACAGAGGTGGATTGAGCATTAGTATGTATGTTTAGAGTTAGTGTATGTTTCAGTTTCCACACTGTAAGTTAGAAAGATAAATACACAAATGCATTTCTCATCCATTATAAAATAATTGATGTTTACAACTCTGATTTTAAAAGGAGTTGAATTCATGGTAACCTAGCAACATGAAATTAAGTGGAGTCAATTTTGCAACAGTCATACAGAAGTCTGAATCGGACAATAGGGTTCCAATTAAACTGTTAATTGTGTCATTTAATACTTGGTGTGTAGGGCAGAGGTCCAATACAGTGTGAATAAAGTACACACAGCATTGATAATGCAATTGAACTGCTTCTTTTCCAAACATATGACAATAATTTTGTGATACATTTATCAGTACTTTTAAAAAATAACTATTATAATTGAAAACCAACAGATTTTTAGAAAAATTTCTAATAGAATTTGCTAGTGCATATTCATGTTATACTGAAATACAGTGGTTGCCTAATCATC